ATATAGTAGTATATATATATATATATATATATAGGGTATATATAGCACACAGTGCACATGATCGTCACTGACTTCTTCCATACTAGCTTACAATGTGAGGTGAATATAGTGCGTGAATGTACTTATGCATCGAGGCACAACATATATTCATTGATTGACAGTGTTATATAATTTGAAACTGAGAAAGAAGACATCACAACGTCCAATTGCACAGGCGGCAACATCGATATACATACTATACAATCACAATATAAAAATACTATACAATCGCAAGAATAAAGAGAGAGAGAGAGCACACACGAACAAACGATGACATCAGCAACTTCTTACTTAAATATTCAATATTAGTAAGGTCGGTAGCCGAACTTTCAATGGTCCACTCGAGATCGAATTTTCTGGATTCAACAGAGATTGAAATTTTGTACTTATATATCAATCTCAATTTGAAACACTCACGACTAGACCTTCTCGACACATAGAGGTCAAACACTACCCGATGCCATTGATACATTCATGTTGCATACAATTATAATACTCAGAATCACTAAACAGGCACGCCGAGATGCCACACCTGTCTTCATTGACGGTCTCTTTTCCACCCTGCCAGGGACGTTTCGTGCGGTGGGGACTACACAGGAGCCATCGTTGTGTCAATGGATTGTAGCGTCTGTGCGGGTGTTCATTATAGTCAAATCCCGGGTCCGCCATTGTGAGATAATAGGGTTAATTAGGTGATGCTAAGTGTCGAGCGATGAGCAAGAGCTCTTTTGCTATATCTAGTTGTGCAAGCAACACCAGCTATTATATGGTCAGGCAATCTCTCTCTCTCTGTATGGCCTGCTGCAGGCGATTATACAGTGGTTATCATAAATAGTATGCATACGTACACACAAGTTAAAAAATACATATGTATGTATTTGTATTTGTTTTTGTTGTAAAAAAACCCAGACAATGCTCAAAACCCAAGATGTTTTCTAACCCTAAATAAATAATAGAGGATACATAGGTGTTTGACTTAGTTGCATACCTAATTAGGTAACATTCATTGAGGATCTCAAAAGGCAAAATAAATAAAAATAAAGAGTAAATAGATTGTGATGCCTCAGCCTCTCAGGAGTCAGGACTATGTTACTGCGGCAGTGTGGTTGCCCACTGCCCAGTCTGCCGGGCGCCCTGACTGCCCTCACAGCCACACAAGTACCCTGGTCGCTGGGGAGAGTATGTACGGTGGTAACTGGTGCAGGGCTACCTTTAAAAGAGGGATCCAATTAAAAATTGTTGAAAATCGAGCTATACAAACCTAAAAAGGTTTATATACGGTTCAAAAGATTGAACAAAACTGACCTATTTTTCTAATTTATCGGGCATTATAAGGTACTAGGATCTGAACAATAATCAGAAATTTGCACCTATGGGTTCTAAATATGCACCCAAATTTGAAAATAACGTTTATCATAAACGTATTTTTATTATTTCAGCAAATAGGTTGTCACTTGTCGGTTGTCACTTGTCACCTGTCCAGTTGTGACTTGGGTTAGTGTACATCTGTATGTACGAGTGGTCAACAGCATCCTCTGGACTCTGGAGTCTGCCACTAGTGACTGGTCTGGTCACCTGGGGGCTGGGGCACGGAGCCCCGGAGCCTCGAAGGTCACTCTGGACTGTTATGATAATTTTAATATGAGTGATTCTCCCCAGACTCCCAGAGTGTGTAGAAGGAGTTGTAATCAGGAGTAAGCTATACAAGGTCGTGTTGATTTACTATGTATTGTTTTTGTTTAATGAAAGTTATGTTCTTTCAAAAAGAGAAGCAGGCGTACATAGCAGTCACAGCATCTCTGCTATAGAATATATAGATATAGGTAGCTCAACACAAGTAGCACAATCATAATCGACTTATCTCGTCTTAAATAATATCAAATATGTCTCTTCTTGAAGAATGTAAAAAGGGGTTTGAGGCCAAGTATGGCTGTGCCCCCACCGCGGGCGCGTCAGCCCCTGGTCGCGTAAACATCATCGGTGAACACGTAGATTACTGTAGTGGATTCGTGCTCCCCATGGTATGAGTTGTTCATAGGATGTTCTATATACCCCTGTTACGATGTAAACGGAGTGAGTTACATAATGCTCGCGTAGAGCATCGAGCGTGATGCGTCTTGGTGCGACTTAGTTTCGCCCGTGACGTGATTGCACAACAGTAGTCGATGCGTTATGGCAAGTGTGAGTCTGACCCTTTTATTGTGTCGTCTCTTCGACGTCCTTCTATTCAATCGCACATTGTTTGCACGCTTCTTGTACTCTGGTGTTCTGTAGGCGCTGACAAAGCGAACTGTGGTCTGTTGTAAACCCAACGACTCCAAAACAGTTCGATTTTCATCCACAGAGGATATTCCCGACATCGAATTTGAGTTAAACGCGGCTAATCTTGGTATGTACTTTTATGTATGTGGCATCAATTATCTCTACCAATACTTGCTTCCATGTCTACAAGGGTTTACATCTAGACTCTAGTGTGTGCATCGGTTTAAGATTTCCAAAAGGCAACATTGATCGCTCGTGCAAAATGTCCATAGTTGCTTGTGGGTGTATCTATCTAACTATATTCGAGCCTGATCTCATTGATCAATATTGACTGACTCTTCAGATTCTCAAAGCATGGTCTGTGTGTACGAAAGAAGTACAGTACAGCCCACTCAAGCTTATCGCACATTACGCACCTCCCTTCAACTATTGGTGGCATCACATATTTTTTAAGAACACGTATGCATGGGTTTGGCTGATAAGAGATATGTATGGTTTTGGCGTTCTGGGTAATGTAAGCTGTTTGTGATGAACGAACAATGTACCTACTTAATATGCATTGGACCTCTTGGTTGCACTGGATGGTTTCCTTGTAATTACTTTCGCTCGAAGTTGGAATGACTATGCAGTTGTACTAAAGATATATGATATCGTATCCCTTGTATTCTCATATCATGCAACCGAATTCTTTTGCAGAGCCCACACACGGTAAGGTCGAGCCCTACTGGGAAAACTACGTCCGCGGAGTCTTCGCACAGTTCCCCAATTTCCACCAAGGCATGGATGCGTTTGTGCACTCCAACGTCCCTGTAGGCGGAGGGCTTTCCTCCAGTGCGGCGCTAGAAGTAGCCATCTACACACTCCTCGAACAACTCAGCGGCGACAAGCGGTCCCTGGTCCAGAAGTCACAGGACTGCCAGAAGGCCGAGAATAACTGGGCAGGTGTACCGTGTGGTATTATGGACCAAACCATCTCTGCCATGGGCAAGAAGGACAATCTACTGCTACTGGATTGCCAGAGCATGGAGACGCGGTACTTCCCGCTGAGCAGCTCAGACCACTGCTTTGTCATCACCAACTCAAACGTCAAGCACTCGCTGTCCGGCTCTGAGTACCCCACCCGCCGGAAGCAGACCGTACAGGTGCTCGAGGCCATCCAGGCCAAGTACCCACAGGTTAAGACTCACAGAGACTGCACTATGGAACAGCTGGATGCCGTCAAGGGCGACATCGAGCCAGTGGTCTACAACCGGGGAAGACATGTGATCTCTGAGATAGCGCGCACGCTGCAGTTTGCGGAGGTCTTCGAGGCCGGAGACTTGGAGAAGGCGGGACAGTACATGTTTGAAGCACACAATTCGCTGTCCAAGGACTTCGAAGTGTCGACAGACGAGATCGATCAATTAGTGGACATTGCGCGTGGGGTGGACGGTGTTCTGGGCTCACGATTAACCGGTGGGGGCTTTGGTAGGTAGTGTGCCAAGGTGTATATGTGGGTGGTTGGAGCGGTTGGTTTGTTTGCATATACGACTATGCAGCGACGGACACTGTAAGGCAAGTATGCCCAAGAGATGTGTGTAGGGTAGGTCTGAGTATGTGAGCGCGTGTAGCTCTGCATTGATGGTGTACGTGATTCACATAGTGGCGTTGCAGCCATGTTGGTGTATGTTTATTTGTCATGGTCGTTGTATGTCCCATGTCCCTCTTTTCTGAGCAGTAAACGTGTATATATCAAACAAATCTTCGTCTTTTTCTAGGTGGTTGCACCGTCACACTTGTCAGGAACGATGCCGTGGACGCTTTCACCAAGGCAGTCGAAGAAAACTACAAACTCGGCAAGGCCACTATCTTCACATCAAAGCTGGGTGCGGGTGCTGCGACCGAGTTCTGATTGTCGAGCACTTTGATTAATTAATTAGAATACAAATAGTGAGTAAATAATCCTTCAAATGGAGCTTGTGAATCTAATTTCTCAATGCCGAACACGGTTTCATGATATTTGCATATACTTATACATTGCTATGTACATAAACATATATACTATATATTTGTATACAAAGACACATACATAACCATATATACATAAAACAACACACACACACACACACACACACATATATATATATGTAAATATATAT